AATTTCAAGGAGAAAATTCTTTTAAGGAGGGGAGAATTGTCACACCCCAATTTAGGGGCTAAATTTTAGAAATTATAAAGTATTGAATTTAAATGGTATTTTGGAAGAAATTGAGAATTAAAGTGTAAAATTGCAAAATTGGTAGACCATTTTGGAAATTATAGAAAATTGAGGGACCCAGTCCTGAATTTACCTATTTTTCTTATGTGTTGAATTATAAACTCTCTCCCCTGAAACAATCTGGTTTTACCATATTGTTTTTCCCATTTCTTCTCCACTGTCAACCCTTTTTGTAACTCCAATTTCTCCACCGTTCAACCACCGTTTTCGAATTGGAAACCACTATCGAGTTCCTTGTCGACCGGAGAACAAAACCCCTTAAACTTCTCGTCGTGAATTATCACCATTCGCCATAAAATTCAACTCAAAGTTTTGAAGTTTTTAAACTCCACCGCCGTGAAAATCGTTGATTCGTCGTCGATCGTTTCTCTATTTTTGACTCCTCCCGCACCATCATGTTCCTTGCATCGTTCCGAGTCAACCGGTCTCATTCTTGTCTCGGACGTCGTCGCCGCGTGAGGGGGTGAGGAAGATAAAGTTTTTAACAATTTAAAATCGAGCTCTCCACCGTTCAAATTTGTGAACCGAGCTTGGTAAGTGTCTTAAAATCCCTAAAAATAATTTTAGAAAATTTTATGGATTTTTTCGACCTCATAGGTTGCCGCACGCGCCCCACGCGCCACCCTTGAGAGTGGGGAAAGTCTGGACATCTTGAAATGGGCTGACCTATTGACCAAACCGAACCCGCTGCCCGCCTGCTTGACTGAGTCAACCCGCGCTGAGTTCACTCGGCCGAGTCCACTCACTGGGTCAACTCTTTGACTTTGATCGAGTCAACCCGTTGACTATTGACTTTGACTGAGTCAACTCGTTAACTATTGACTTTGACCAAAAAGTCAAATTTTTCGAAAGTCATATTTTAAGTTTTTCGACGTCCTGAGTCATTCCGAATTCTGTTTCGCCAAATTCGAACCCGGTAAGCTATTTTTCACTGATTTACCAATCGATACGATCCGTTTTTCGTAATTAAGTTCCGTTTCTGATGAAATTTTTGTTGTTATGTATCTGAGAAATTAGTGAACTTTGATTTCAAGATTAAGGGCGTTTAAATGGAATTTAAATGGTCGATCAATATGACATTAAAATTGAGGTAATACATGTTGGTATTGGTAAATGCATGAATGAAAATGTTTGGTTTTATCTGGATAGTTAATTAATTCCTACACTCGATAAGAATGAAGTAGGTAATTGAATATGTCTCAGATGACTAATACATGAAATTGGAGGACAGTTGGAATTAAATTATAAGTTCTGGATTAAGTGATAAAGGAATTAGCCATGGATTTGTAAATTATAATTTATATAATTAAAGGTTAAATGCCAAAGTTATTTGGATGAGAAATTATGAGAATACTCTGGTTAAGTAAAATTATGAAAATAGCCTTATATTGTAAAAAGACAAAAATTGTCCTTAGAAGTTGGATAATAATCTGAAAAGACATATTGATCCGATGAAACTACTGATGTGCATAGAAAATGCTAGTTTTGCTTAGAAAATATGGATAATTGAATTCTAGTCCCAAGATGGCTTGTACAAGATACTAGAAGTTTGATAAGGAATAATTTCAAGTTTAGAGATTATCTGGGAAAGCAATTAACCCTAGAATGTATAAATTATAATTATCCTTGTTAAGAGTTTTAATACTGAAATTTCATGGTTAAGAAATTACGAAATTACCCTTGAAAAGAAAAAGTAGTCCGAATTGACCCTGAATGAGAAAGTACCCAAGAAGTCATGCCTAAATCGATGAATTACTAATTTCATCATTAAGTTCATACATTTACACAGAAAATTTCTGATAATCCATAAATCTCCGAGTTATGAGTAAATACCTGTAGAATAATTTATCGAGGGCGCTATTTTGTCAGAATTGTTCGAAAAGACTGAAATAGATGATAAGTTTGAATTTAATAATAAGATGGACAAAAAGAAAGGATTAAAATACCCTAGATATGTAAAATGACCAAAATACCCCTGGAATGGAAATGACCCAAGAATATCACCAAGCCAGGAATGAATGGATATCCTCAAGCTTTGAAATGACGGGAATAACATTGGGCACCAAAATGACCAAAATAACCTTATGGCTTAGAATAAGTAAATGTCCTGGATTAATTAAGGAATCCAAATAAACATGGGTGTAGTACTACCCTTAAAAGTTATGGAACAAAACTTAAGTGAGTCGATCAACTCTAATGATATGTCAGTACCTGAATGACATAAATATCTCTTGAATACGTATTCGTCTTCTCAAGTTTGGATCGATGATAATTCTGGAAAACTCTGAAGTAACCTGGATAGACCTGACTGTTAAAGGAACTAAGTAACCTCAATGACTTAAGACTAAATGAGTGACTTGGATACATATGGAAATGTTGATGAACTTACCTGATGTACTGTCCCTATGGGTTGTAAACTACGAATCAAGTATGTCAACATTTTCCTGATATTGTTGCAACGTGGGAATAAAATAAAGACCATTGGAATATTTGTTCGCCTCCTTAAGATCTATTCAATGATGATTCTGAAGGTGTTCAATGGACAAGAATTGTTAGTATTAAAGAGTGAATACCTTGGAAGGGCATTAAATGGACCGATCGACATGCATTAGTCTGAGAGTTGTTTAGCTTTGGTTATATCGATAATCCGATAGATCGACACAGATTGTAAATGTCTTGAACCTTCATTTCTTCCTAATCAGTTTCATGTTATCCATCCTGATAACTGCCAAGTGTCTCTAAAAAATACTTGGACCCTCTAGTGTGTTCCCTATGTACTACGTAATTGGTTTATCTGTTTTGAAATGTGGGACACCAAAATCTATGGTTTATTGTTTTATTGATGCACCAACTTACTGGTGATGACTTTTGAATATGATTGTTATATGATTATCAGTTTTCACTGGTATATGATCACGATGATTACGGATTTATGGAAATTCTGCTTACTGTACAAATTGTATCTTGAGATACCGATTTTGGGTAGGACTGGAACATGGAGGTACAACTCTGATCAAGCTGGTAAATCTTTATGAACCTAATGTGACTCTTGGATAGGCTCTTCGGCCCCGAGATCATTCTTGGGTAGGCCCTGCGCCTTGGGATTTTTTTTGGGTAGGCCCCGTGGCCCTGAGATCATTCTTGGGTAGGCCTTGCGGCCCTGACATCTTTCTTGGGTAAGCACTGTGGCCCTGAGAACTTTCTTGGGTAAGCCCATAAGCCCAAGATGCTCCCTTAGGTTGGCTCCCTTTGCTGTGTGCTTAGGGTAAGCCCTTATGGATGCAGTTATGGGAAACTGCATAATGGAATATGGTTGGTGGGTTTCGCTATGGTTTTAAAAGATTTATATATTTTCACTGGTTTTGATTGGAACACACTAGACATCCTATTCGATCTCCTGAAAATGTGATACTATGAATGCTTCTTATGAATTGAAATCTTCATGGCTTATACTCGATGAACTACTAGTGAAACCCCAAATTATTCCAAAAACCAGTATACGCCTGATTTAATAAGGAAATTATATGGTTTTCCATTTATCTGCATGTCATGTAGCATCAACTGGTAGTATTGTATTATTGAGCTTCCCAAAGCTCACTCTGTTACTCACCTTTTTTTAGGTTAAAAGAATCGTATCAATGCATCTATCAACATCAGTAAGGGAGTTCTTCCAGCGTTTCTTGCAGAGTATGGTACTTGTGATTAGGGGGCATGTAGGTTGTATTTTGTTTATATACTAGTCTGAAAATATGTTTTATTTTTGAATATTGGTAAAGTTTACTTTTGTATTTATAAATGATTTTATGAGTTTACACGTTTTAATAAAAGTTTTAAATTTTCCGTTATTTTTACGGTGGGTCGCTCCGGTGGCCCTAATGTGACACCCCATATCGGATCGGGTTACCCGCATCAGTCTGAGGGGGTTACATAATCTGAGTCATGTTAGATGATAATCAGGTAAGCCATGAAATATTATACGAATTAAACTTTTATTTTAAAATTTATTATTCACGAATCAAGTGATTTGTGATATTAGTGGTAAAAAAATTGTTGTTATTCCTTGAGGTCTCGAGTTCGAGTATCATGAATGTTAAAGGAATGAATGTTCAATTTCAAGTGATTGATATATATCAAATATTGATTTATAGTTACCTAGTTTAATAAAAAAAATCATTATTAAATAAGACCTAAACTGAAAAAGAAATCTCATATTAGTTATTATTTATAAACTATGCAATCAAATTTTACATATTTATTTATCGTAAACTTTAAAGTTAGAGTTCAGATAAGACAATATTTCACTTCTAGACTTACTTGAATATCACCTAATTTGATATGGATCAATTTATCTTTTAAGTCTATAATCAATGGTGTTACTAATTTGGACTAACCAATAACGACTTAAGGTAGAAGCACCGAATTATGTTAAATTAAGATAAAAAAAAACTAAATCCCAAAATTTAGCACAATAGAAGGACCAAAACTAAAATTAGACCCATTCTTAACCCAAGGATTTTTATATAGGATATCAACCAGCTGTTATAAAAAAATCAGTGGATCTTTCATCAGTGGTTTAAACTTCTAAGTAGTTTGGAGTATTGGAAACTGTGAGTCTACCTGTCAAAGATGGAGTGCAGCCATTTTTGTTCAATTTCTAAGCCAACATCCGAAATAGCACGCTTGGAAACCACATGTTCAAGCCATTTCAGGCCCAGGGTTGTTAAGTGCATCCCACACCAAATATTCACTTCTTTCAAAGTTAAATTCTAATGGTTTGGTTGATGTAGCATATCCTCAAAGATTGTAAACCATTGAATGTTTGTACATTCGTACGTGGTGCTCGAATTTAACCACCAAAGTCATTTGGTTCTTGTTGATGTATGAGAAATAGTTTCTTCACTGAAGGTTTGTTTTTTGCAGGCATATCTCCAAAGGCTTCTTTTGCAGGTGCTCCAAATAATATCCAGGTGCCAAAGAAAGCTGTGAGTTCATTTGAGCAACAGAAACTTGGAGCTGAAGATTTGGGGTATGAGATTACTAGAAGGAATTTGAGAAAACTGTATGGTGGTATTATTGTTGACTCCGAGAGATTACCAGCTAATCCACGTCTTTGCTTCCATGCTTCGTTTCTCACTTTCTCATTGGAAGGCAAAGGTAAATTAATGATCCCTGTTTAGGTTTCTAATTGAAGGATAAGGTAAATTAATGATCCATGTCTAGGTTTCTAATTGAATTCAGAAGCTCGAGCTCGACTCCGTTAAAAATCAAAGTTCAATTTGATTTAAATTCGACTCGCTATCTTAACAAGTTGAGTTGAACAAGGTTCAGCTCGACTCGATAAGTTCACAAACAACTCATTATTTTCTTAGTAATTATTTAGGATGTTGATAGTATTGCTTTTAGAATTGATAATATATTATTGTTAAACATTTTTTTTCCAATTGTAATATGTTAGTTTGAAATTTTTGTGGATAGTTACTTTCGTTATAATATGTTAGTTTGATATATTTTACATATTATTACTTTTTGAGTTTAGACTTTGTGAGCTCGTGATGGACTCGCTCGATGTATCTATTTACAACTTCTACTCGAGACTGATATTCAACCATCAATCTGCAGGAAAAGAAGGGAATTTGGCTCAAGTTACCGGCTGAAAAATCAGAGCTTGTACCAGTTGCAGTGAAGGTATGTTCCGGACATTAAAACTGGCATGCAGAAAGCAGAAGTGAGTGCAGTTAAATTTCATGGAAAATTGTTTGAAGTACAATGGGTGATGCAGGAAGGATTCCGAGTATCACCACGCAGAGAAAGGTTATGCAATGTTAACTTATTGGCTGCCACAAGGACCCAGCGTGTTTCCTGGGTAATGCTTCCCATCAAGTTGCGGTTGGAGGATTTGTCATCAGTGACAACGAGGTACCGAATCTCTTCAATATTTAACTTAATGTAATGTAATGCAAGCATTTGAAATGATGATTGCAGGTTCTGGTAGTATGAGAGAAATACTCTGCTCCAGCATTTATTGGTCTTTGGAAAATACCTACAGGTTTAATAGCTCAGGGACCTGAACCGAAACTTTTCACAAAGTTTTAGATCAACAAACTAGGCAGTAGAAAGAGTAATATCTTATTTTTCCGGGTAAAGTATACAAATTATCCCTGATTATAGGTCGTTGTTTTGTTGAGTCCTTCAACTATAGGACGTTTTATTGATTCTCTCGACTATTAAAAGTAGCAAAATAATCACCAGACTATTCATATATTCCAAAATCGTCCTTTTTCGTTAAAAAATTGACAGTCGTCTAAACTGGACGTTAACCTGCTGGCATATGATAAAAACATATTTTAATGATGTCTACTGGCATCGTTGTTGCTTTCAAGCACTGGCTCGACGACATAATGTTTCAAGCATTGACTCAACAACATAATGTAAATGAAGAGTCAATCCAAAAAATACAACTCAAACGATTATGGTCGAGTTTGAGACATCCAGCTCAGACGACCATCATTTTTTTAACGAAAAAGGGACGAGTTTGAGACATATGAACAGTTGAGGAACAATTTTATAACTTTTAATAATCAGAAATTTAATAAACAGTGCCCTATAGTCGGGGACTAGATAAAGTAGTGCCCGGGGGATTATTTATGTACTTCACCCTATTTTTCAATGTCATAAACCTTTGTTTGGTATGGCAGTCTGAGGAGATTTATACAGGAGCCGTAAGAGAAGTCAAGGCTTCACCCGTTTCCAAATACGAATAGAATAATAAACTTACTTTTAGGGAAGAAAAAAAGAGTGAATAATTTGTGAAATGGATACAATCTTGATACATGCATCATAAGGCTCACATCAAAGGAAGAAGTAATAACTCTTCCAAATGATCCACTCGTCCAAGGCTTAGCAAAGAAGACCAGAACAACAACAGACTTACAATGACTTTTTGAATAGGATCCTGATCTTATTTGATCAACATGTCTTCTGGATATACGATCTTTTATATCTTAGCTTTCCAACGGTTCTTGAATTGCATCAATCCGATATAGGGAACTCAAGATATGACCATTTTAGTGAAGACAATGCATGCAGAAAATCTTATACGAGATTAATAAGGGATTTTGTAAATGTTACGAATTTTCAATATTTTTATTGATTTATTTGTAATATAATTTAATATAGAATGATGCATTGTCTTTTAGGATTATATTTATTATTTTATTATGAATTAATGTTGGGTTAAAACATTATTTTTAGTTTATTATTATTTTATTGGAATTAAAGTTAAGACATGTTTAGTTTGTTATTATTTTATTCATTAGTTATTTAGGACATTTAGAACTCATCCCCTATATAAAGGAGATTTCATTCAACTTTTTAAAACAAATTTCTTTGATTAATAATACAACGAGAGTTCGTTTTGCAAGTGCTGATTGCCTTGTGCATTCGAAGCTTCTTCTCCTAGAGTTCTTTCAAGTTCTTGTGAGGGATATTAATCTTCACATTGCAATTTGCCTTTTCATCGCGACTAGGAGGCTTGGTTAGATCCATATTATCGAGTTTGCCTTTTCATTGCGACTAGGAGGGTTCGATAAGACATTTATCCATCTATTTTTTACAAATCCATTATCACCATCATAATCTTTACCATTCACCTTCATAAGGGAGATATTTTGATTTCTTGATTATCATACTTTATTCTCAATTTATTCATATTTTGTTTATCTTGTTCTAACCTTGTTTTTTTACCTTGTTTCCAGCACTCAAAAGAAACTCTAAAAGACTCTAACTGTTGCCGCTACCTTCTCCTATTCATCCCCCTTTGTTCTTCATCGAGTCTAAAGCTTTTTTAGGTTTGATTCTTCAACAAGAGCAATGTTCATTAACCCACCATGGCTTTCCTATCAATTGGTATTAGATTTGGGTCGATTCTTGGAAAGAATCAAGCAATCATGCTTTTTGCTGCACAAAAAACTACTAAGGTACCCGAACGGAGCTAGTTCACAAACGATTCATAGTTTTATATTTTTTTGTTTAATTTTAACTTAGATTCAAATCCTTCTTGTTAGTTTTCTATTTTTCATCCAAAAAAATAAAAAAATAAAAAAAAAATTCAAAAATTGAAAACGAAAGAATTTAGGGCTGATTTTTTCTAGATCTCATATTCATCCTAAGAGTAATATCCAATCCAAAATTCACCCCAATAGGAGTTCATTAGATTCTTCAAATAAATAGTTCAAGTTTCATTGGCAGATTCGGTCTAGAATCTTGTCGAATTTCTTGAAAATTATAAAAGAGGAATTTCATGGTAAAAATTTCCAGATTGAAACTAAATATATTGAAGATCATTCAAAAAAACAATCTGAATTTTTTGAGATCAATAAAAACTTCGAACAAAACGATCAAGAAAAACATACTTTTTGAGGACTCACCGTTCAACAGAGTTTACTGGATACTACTGAAGGTATTTGGTTCTGAAAATTTACAGGTACTTTCGAAACACATCAAAAGACATTCAAGAATGTTTTTAGAATTTTTGGACCCGGTAACCCTCTCAAAAACGTTATTCAAGTTGACATACCATTTCTAGGTTTCTGGTTTGGTTCTTTTTTTTCTTCTTTGACTCTTAGTGCTTTAGGTTCCCTTGTTTTCACTTTTTATTGTTCTTTTACATTGTCTAAAACAATATATTCCTTGTCTTAGTATGAATAAAGAGTTTGCATACTTATTCTTTTTTGCACACTTATTCCTTCTTTACATTCTCATTCTCTTAGAGTCTAACCCTTGTTTGGCCTCTTAGAGCTTTTAGGTTTTCTTACTGCCTTTGCTAGTAATCAAACTTTGATACGAACTGTGGAAGAATACTTGGTAAAGTGAGTTTTAAAGAGTACAATATCGGCTTACTTGCCTCTCGTTGTGTTATTTTCTTGGAGTGACTTATGAGGTTTCTTGCTTTGTTGAGTTTTCTTTCTTTTATTTTTATTTTACTTTAAATGATTCATTGAGTGTTTGATTTTCAGGGTGTTTGAACTAAGACAATTTTTCTGTAACCCCCTTAGACCGATATAGGTGGCCTGCTCCGATTTGGGGTGTCATATTAGGGCCATCGGAGTGACCCACCGTGTAACTCTAGGGAAAATTAAATTTTTTGTTAAAACATGTAAAATCATAAAACAATTTATAAACATAACAATAAAATTTAACATTATTAAAAATAAAGCAGATTCCAAACTCGGATATAAAAACAATATACAACTACATGCCCCCTAAACACACACACTATACTCCGTAAGCAAAACTGGTGAAACTCCCTTACCGTTGTTGATAGTTGCACTGGTTCAATCCTTTTAACCTGTAGTAGGTGAGTAACAGAGTGAGCTTTAGAAAGCTCAGTAATACAATATTACCAGTTGATGCTACAGGACATGCAAATAAAAGGGAAACCATAAAATTTCCTTATTTAAACAGACATATACATATTTTCGGGAAAGGTTGGGGTTCCATTGGTAGTTCATCAAGTAGAAGCCATGAAGATCTTAGTTCACAGGAAACATTCATAGTATCACGTTTTCAGGAGATCGAATAGGATGTCTAGTGTGTTCCAACCAAAACCAGTGAAAAGATATAAATATTTTTAAAACAGTAATTGTTTACAACATATTTTCAAAACCATAGTAGAACCCTTCAACTGAAAACCGTTATGCAATTCCCCATAACTGCATCCATAAGGGCTTACCCTAAGCACACAACAAAAGGAGCCAACCTAAGGGAATACCTTGGGGCCCGAGAGCCAACCTAATGTTCACCTTAGGTCCGTAAGGATTTACAGCTGGATCAGGGTTGAACCTCCATACTCTAGAATCTTACCCATATAAAAATCCAGTAGAAATCAATTTTAATCGTAATATCTGGATCGTGATCCTGTCATTTGTCATAACCGTGATAATGAAATAAACCGTATAATTGATCTCTGCCTGTACACCATAAGTAGTCCCGTGATTAATACAAGGGAGTGCCTTGAGGCCTGAGAGCCTACCCAAGGATCACCTTAGGTCCGTAAGGATTTACCAGCTTGATCGAAGTTGTACCTCCATACTCCAGTCTACCCAGATAATGTCCCAATAAAAAAATTCAAGTAATAACCAATGAAACATGAAACCATAGTTCATAACTCAATAAATTCTATGATTCCATAAATTAAGAACAATTCATATTTTTCATTGAAAACTGAAAATCGGAGAACACATACCATGTTGCCATGGTTCATAAAATAGAAAATCAATAATTTCGTTAAAACTCATTTCAAAACATATAAAACTGTCATGTAGTACATGTGGAACACATTAGAAGATCCAAGTATTTTTCAGAAGCATAGAATATTTATTAGGAAAACGTAAAGCATATATGCTTTGATCGAATTCCATGAACGAAGTCCAATTAAAGGGATCAATTACTAATGGATCTAATCAGACATTTAAAGTTGATACTTTAGGATCCCACTATAATTCAGGTGCATCAGGAAATTGCTCAGGAACCCTTGCACAAAATAATTCTAAATTCAAATTTACGGAGAGTGATTCCATTACTCACCATCAGGGGTATTCAGGATTTTGAATTTAATTATCAGGATTTTAAGTCCAATGGAACCAAATGGGTATTCATGATCCTTTTCATCTGAATTAGTTGTGTGATCAGATATGACCAGAGTGATTTGAGCTGATAAGAGAGAAATAAAGGTTCAAGACATTTACAATATGTTTCGATCTATCGGATTATCAAAATAACTCGAGCTAAACAACTCCTAGAACTGATGCATATCGACCGATCCATTCGTTGCCCTTCCAGGGTATTCAATCTTTAGTACCAACAATTCTTGTCCATAGATCACCTTCAGAATCATCTCTGAATATATCTAAAAGAGACGAACATATATTCCAATGGTCTTTATTTTATTTCCACATTGCAACAATATCAGGAATTGTCAACGTACTTTAATCTGTGGTTCATAACCAATAGGGACAATACATCATGTAAGTTCATCCACGTTCCCACTCATCCAAATCACTTACTTAATCCTCATTCATTGAGGTTACTTAGTTCATTTAGTAGTAAATTTTATCCCGGTCACTTCAGCGTTCTTCAGAGTAATTCGAACAGTTCTGAATTTCGGATACATATTGTACTTCCGTTCGGTTCAATTTGGTCATATAATAAAGTCATTTGGTATTTGAGGTTAATTTGTTCATTTTAAAGCTGAAAGTATTATTTATTATAGTGCTTAGACGTTTCGTGGGTTATTTTACACTTTAGGGGCATTTTTATCATTTTACACTTTAAGGTATTTCTATAAATCCAATATAGATCCAGAATTTAAATCGATGTTTCCAAGGTTCAAGTGAACCAAGATATGAGCTCGCAGATTGTCCCCATTATCATAGTGATACATATTATTTTTTACTCTTTAAGGGTATTATCGTAATTTCATTTAATTACGTTAGTGGAATTACTTCGGGTAACTTAGTTTTGAAAGTATTCCAGTTCCATTAAAGTTCAGAGTACTTTGATCATTTTCTCACTGAAGGTTAATTTCACCACTAGGGAAAGTCTTGCTCCTTTTTAGTACAAGGGTATTTTTATAATTTTCCCCCTTAGGGTTATTTAGGTAATATATTATCAAAATATTCTCGGTATTTAACCTTAAAAGAAATTAATCAAAATTTACTGATATTGAAGTCAATTTATTCATTATTGAATCACCGAGCTTATT